GTCTTATCGTCTATCAGGGCAGATCTAGTTACAAAATTATTTTTATACACAGGCAATTTATTCGTGATACAAGAACTGATAGGGACAATGTAACAGTAGACGTATACGTACCGCAAAATCACAGACGCATCGTGCGATCATTATTTTCTTGGAGTTGACAGGGATTATGTTCTAGGTCCACAAGTCACATGAGACGTGTGCGTGACGAAAACGTAGGTTGGTTATCGTTTAGAGACATTGGCTACTGTGAAACCTCTACTACCCTCTTTGTCGCTCTCCTTCTGAGAATCTTGCAGATACACGTTACGTGCGCTGTTAAATATTTCCTAGTTTCGAATTTCTGCGCGCCAACTCATAAGATGATACTTTTATTAGAATTGAAAACGATTCGACGCAGAAAAACGCAGAAAGTTTCTTTCAAAATGTAAAGATTGAATAAAATAATTTATATAAATTAAAGTAAGCCTCGAAGAAATTGATGAGATATAAACTCCATTTTTCCATCAAATTTCGCAACTTCGCTCATAGAAATTTTGTGAATTAATTATCTCTTACTTCCTTCAAAAATATCACTACTCTTATTACATATTCCATATTATCCGTCTGAATATTTAAATAGTACGAAATTCATACGAGTATAAAATAAAATTTAATATAATTGTTTCCCTTGTTTTTCTCGATTCGAGTTTAAATTTAAAAGTAATAAAGATAAAAGAAGACTTTCCCCATTACTTCGAAGCTCTTGAGAAAAGTGTAAACGCCAATCATGGTAGATTCTTCAAGTGCCTAGCCACTTATCTCAGTTCGGCAACAAGCATGCAAGTCACTTACCCCATGCCGTAGGAAGACGTTGATGTGAATTAATGGCAGCTTAAGTCATAGTTAGTGCCCAAGTGTTGCGCGTACCCGGGGTGTGTGCCGGTGGCGCAGTATTAATTAACGCGACCCCAAAATCTCTTCTTAACCCCTGAACTCCCGTCTAAACGGCACTGTATCATGTCGATGCCCCGGTAGAAAGGGAACGAGGGGTTCGTTGGTGATTCTCGAACGAATACTTCATAAATATTATCTGTCCGTCCTCCGATATAAATACGAGCGTCTGGTATTCAATGATAGCCGATTAGAAAGTTCTATTAAATTCGATAAGCTTCGTGCATGCACACGAAGCGTTGCACATTAGATATATAGAATATAGTTTCTTCGACTGATCGTTTGCAAATTAATGAACCTAAATTAATATAATTAATTAACCTCTAAATTAATATAATTAACAGTTGGCAATACTATACAACTTTTGTTCTTGTAACGTACTTGTAATCTGCGAAATTTACCTTTTTTTTTCGCAATTAATAAAAAGCTATCTGTAGAAATAGGTTTGTCTCGCGTGATCTGTAATACTCGAGGAACATTACATTAAGGAATCCTCTTTCATTCTTTGCCGCTTTGAAACTTTATTCCAGCAGGAAAGTTTCTTCCCAGACGAAATAAGTAAATCTTGGAATTTTCTGAGACGAATGGAATCGCCGAGGTGGCACCAGGTTTCCCTCGCGGATTGGAAAGAAAATCTCAGGTAGGGAAATGGAATCGAACGGGCCGCGAGGTGTGTCTCCTTCCCCCCTCCCCCCCGATAAAAAGTGAAATTTATAATCCGTAAAAACAATTATAGAGGCTGCGGCGGTGGAGCCTCGCCCCCGTTTGCCAGCAAAAACGACCAATATCCGTCGTTTGATTTATACGATCGTAGTGTGACCGTGGTCTGCCAACCGTACAGGGGGCCGACGATATTAAATAGAATATTAAAGATTTACCGGGAGACAACAGCGAGAGAAACCTCGGTCCCTCCTCTCTTCTCAACCGAAACGTTGTTTCGTGCCACCGGAGTGCAGAATGTCACATATTCCGTGTACGTGCACACACAGACGTTGAATCAATGCCGACACTTATGTGCCGTGGAAGATCAAGAAACGTTTGGAAGAACACGGAGGGGATGAGACCAGGCCAGCCATTTCAATAAACTGACCGTCATAAATCGTATGTGCTACATACTGGCGCGTACACACGCGTATTTGCATGTGTCGCCAGCTATAGCGTTTCTACATTCGCTCCACAAGTTGTGTTCATAATATTAGAAATCTTCGTGCGAGGTTCTTTCTTGGATTATTTTGGAAAGTTGTGAATTTCGAAGTTTCGAAATGTGGAAACGTGTGGTATTGAGTTAGGGAGCTAAGGCGAAAGATAATGATTGATGAATGAAAAGAAAGTTTTTTACAGTGTATGTATGATATCTCTTACGTACGAAGTGTTCTTGAAACTTCATTCACGTTTCACTAAAATGAGAACATGATTGAAATACAATGGTTAACAATAGTGAAAAACATAAATAACGAGTTTGTGTTTTCATGATGATATATTTCAAACCATGTCGCTTTACGTATTTCTATGCAAATGAGAGATTGATGTGAATTAGTGAGAGATCAATTGTGTATTTATGAACGTGATTGAAGCAATAGTGACTTAATTGCTTCATGTTTTCACGTGTTGCAGCTAGTCGTGTCGTGGAAGCATCTCGAATTTATACGGCCAGCTTTTTTTACACCTCCAAATTCCCATTCCAGCCTCTCTTCCTCGGAACGAAGCCCCTTTGCGGTCAAGTAATAAAATTGGACTGCGGGCAGTTTCGTCCAGCCGTGGCGAACGCCTTATTGCATGTAAAACATTTATGTTCTGTGGATATTGGCGAACTCTTACATGCCGCTTTCGACTCCGCGTACATCTTCTTTCTCTCTCTAGGATAACAATATCACGTTGTGAATCACTTGCATATTTGCAAGCAGTTCCGTTAACATCTGCTTCGATCTACATAACACTTCAGTTTTCACATATAACGCGTTAATGGAGATATTGCCTTTCACTATGTGATATAATACTGCTGGTTATAATATTTGTTATATTTATTGGTAAAAAATCGCCAGTTTCATGTCATAAAATACGAATAAAATTATAGATTTATAATCAAATAAGTAGAAAATAAAATTGGAGGTTGTACAATTATACATATATATAAAAAGAGAGATTTTTAATATTTCAAAGTCTTGAGATACTTTTCTATTTTTAATATACCTAATATTCATCGTTGATGATACAATTTTTTAATTAATTTTTTAATAAATAACGTCACGTGCAGATATCTCAAAAAAAAAAAAAAAAATTCTTCAAGATTAAACAATCCGTCCAATTCCGAAAACTACTAGCTTCTTTCACCTTTAAAAAGTGTTTCACTTTCTTTCGCGCGTAACTAGCGTGGCGTTCGCAGAAGGGCGATAAATTTGCAGGATAGACGGTGGGCAATACGTGGAGAATTATAACGAACGGTTTGACAGAACAGGGTTCTGTGCCGCGGAACGCAACGCGGACCGTCAACGTGACGTTCAACAGTTGTATCGCGCTTCGGCAAACGCGACATTAATAACACGTCGTAACGGGACGTGACGCGGAGTAGTAGAGACCGGTCGCCTCATGACGAGTGTATTAGCCTCGTTAAGGGTAGCCACGGTGTTTCTCTGATTCTTCCTTTTCCACGCTGCGCAACCCCCGCGCCCACACTGCTCTCCACCCTCTGATTACGCACCGTGACGTATTCGCATGCGTGTCCCGCGTTGCACACACTCGTTTCACGTGCACGCGTGCAACGTCATGCGTGCAATTGAATTTTTCCTTTTTCGTGCACAGCAGCGTTCTATGATGTAACATAGATATTTCAGATGGTTAGTCCGTGTTCTGTTCGGACAGTTTATAATCATAATCTTATAATCGTAAGATTATGTGCAGAACATGAAGCCGTCAATTTTAGATGTACGATTAGTCTTCGAAAAAAGAAAAGCCTTTAAAAAAAGAAAATTTCTTATTTTAAAGAAATTATTTTCATTTCAAAATCATTAGCACAAATTATTCCAAGTACCAAGAAACAAGTGCATCTTAATTTCAAAAACTCGTAAATTTGATGAATAGAAATTTAACTTTGTATTCTGTTCGTTCTTTCTTCGTCGCCGGTTCATGTCGTTCGGTTCATTAATACATGAGTATAGTTACGGTTACAAGATTGTGGTCATGGTAGGCTTCTACCCCTCGAACACTCGAGCGAGTTTACACGGTTGAAAATTCGATTCACTTTAGAGTTCAGGTCCCCCATCTGTGACAGCGCGTCACGATACACGCTTGGGGACCATTTAAATCCCCTTTACTGTCTATTTTAAACAATTCGCTACCCTTGCGAGCACACCTCTCCACCCCCGCCGATGATAAATCACGGAATATCGGGCCGTTCTCTGGAAAACATTTTTAACCTAATTCCGTGAAATCAGCGTTCCTTCTTTCCTCGCCTCTTTCGTTCGTAACAATTAATTTAATTGAATTGATCAATAGTCTAATCCGTCTCTATCGTCTCATAATGGCGACAGATGGTAGAAGAGGAACGTAAGCATCTTATCGCGACGGGAATGCAAGTTTATATCGTGCGATTGGTTTTTAATTTCATTAAAATGAATCAATATTTTCAACGAGACTCGCATCGCGATTAAACACTTGCTTCTATCATGCCAAGGACAATAATCCCAGCTTAGAAAATGACAACAGAAAGCACAAGGAAGCAAGTTAACAAAATCCTACCAAATCTAAAAACGACGTATGCAATGACGCAGGGATGCAGATGTTTTTAATCGAGACAGAAGTAATCACCGTAATCATCCGATCGAATGGCAAAGTGTTGAGCGCAATTCAATCGAATCCAAGCTTAACAAGAAGCCGAAGATACAGTACTTCTGAAAACGAAATCGCGGATCAAGAGATTGTTGCGTTTCTCGGCGATTTCCTCAAGCTGAAAATGTCGAAGAATGTAATGATCAGCTGGCCTGCCGTACCCGAGTGTCAAGTATGATCCAATTGAAGATGACCCTAGCCTACCTAGCGTCAGTATTGGCATAATAGAAGTAAGTAGCCCGCGGCCAGTATCCAATACTGTCCGCAGTTGCGACCACACGATGGGGCTTCGATTCTGTGGTACGAGGCGAAGGTGCTATACGGTCCATCTCCCCCCCCCCTCCCCCTTTTGCCCCCCACACCCACGCCTTCCGCATTGTGTGGCTTCCACGCTCGACTCAATCTGCACCTACTTAACCTTATTTACCCAGCTGTAAATTCCTGAATCTATCCCGAATGAGCAAGGGAACGAGCAAGGAAGGGTCGACCTCGAGATACAGTTGGCCGCGCCCAAGATTTTGACTGCGTCGAAAGGAGGAAAAAAAAAAAA